CAAATAAATCATATTTTTTGTTTCCTTTACAAAATAATTCTTAAGAGAATGCTATAGCTTTTGTTTCTTTCAGCCTCTCAATGAAAAAAATTATATATTTAATAATATAAGTATTTCACCATTACCCTCCCATTTAAAAAAATACTATAAATATGCTTTGTAATCTTTCCATTTCTGTGATAATGCAGGAGCTAGAACCTATAAAGTGAGTGAAATGTTTTGTGATCCAGAAAAGAGCAATTTCTAACCCAAACTTGGGAAATCATGTTCTGAATAAACAGTAGGAAAAGAAATTATTTTGAACTGTAGTAAGTTTAGGACTTACATCTCTAAAACATAAATTCAAGGCTGCTTTAAGGGTACTGTATAAATGTGGGACTGCTGCTAAGGAAACCAAAAAGTTATAATGACTCTTATCAGCTCCCTACTGAAGAGGTCATAATTATCTGCCTACTATCATCTCTTTTGTAGTAGGTTGATCATTACTTTTGACTATTTCTTTCTAATGACATGCCAACTCTTCTATTTAATGCATAGTCTTCCTAGCCTTTTTTATGTCATCTCTGGTTTTTTATCCCACTATTATTTAATACAGCTAGAAATATGTTGGCTTCCAAATGACAGCTAAAAAGTAAATATTCATGTCCCTAAAACTTTCTATCTTTCCCATTTCAGAAACTAACTTCTCAAACTTATCAACTGCAGGTAGTCCTCAACCTACAACCATAATTGAGACCAAAATTTCCATTAAAAACAAGTTGGTTGTTAAGTGGGTCATGAGCAGTTTTATAACATTTTTTGATATGGTTGTTATAAGTAAATTAAGGTTATAAGTAACCTTTTTCAGTTGTGATAAGTTCAAACAAATAGCAACACCAATTCACTTAGACTTATATCCCGCTTCATAGTGCTTTATAGCCCTCTCTAAGGAGTCTACAGAGTCAGCATATTGCCCCCAACAATCTGGCTCCTCATTTTACCAACCTTGGAAGGATGAAAGGCTGAGTCAACCATGAGCCAGTGAGAATCAAATTCCTGGCAGTGAGCCATATTAGTCTGCAATACTGCATTCTAACCACTGCATCCCTACAGCATTTATATACACGAATGGTTATAAGTCCATGTTTACCTGTATTTATACAGCTTATTCTGTAGGATTTATGAGAGTTTTATATGTAATAAGGAAAAGAAAAAAAATTCAAAATTTTGCTAAGGAATGTTAAGTGTAACTTCCCTTACTTCAAAGGGAAGACTTACAAGAATTGTAAGAAAAAATATACCAAGGACATACTTAAAATATACAGCTGCTGAACAAAATGGAAGTTAAAGCTTAGTCTTTTAAAATCTCAAAAAAACATAATCACTTAACACTGAAGGTCTGAAAGGATATCATTTTTATTTAATAGAACAGAAGAAGTGAAATTCTTTTTATAGTGATTATGAGAAAGAACATACAGTGTTACTATATATTTTAAATAATTTGTATATAAACTCAATGGAATCATTTTATTAAAATCTTTTGCTTTGAGTACTTTGGATTATGTTCTTCCATCTCTGTTCCAGTGACATTCCCATGTTACTTTTATACAGTAATTGCTGTGATCTCCTATGTCAGTTAAGGTTTTAGTGGTTTGAGTTAGCATTTTAAATTGGTTCTGGAAACTGGCTCATAAAGCTCTCTTTACACAACTACAATTAAGACTATAATTACCGTATATACTCAAGTATAAGTCAACCCAAATATAAGCTGAGGCACCTAATTTTGCCACAAAAAACTGGGAAAACTTATTGACTCGAGTATAAGCCGAGTTTTTCAGCACATTTTTTGTGCTGAAAAAAAACCCCTCGGCGTATACTCAAGTGAGATTCCCTCTGAAAAAAATAATGGTGTGGAGCTCCGGAGCTGGGCAGCCGCTTCCCTGCTTCCGTGTTTCCTTTGCAACTTGTAAGCATGGGGGTAATCGGAAGCAGAAAAGTTCTTGCATGGGGATATATTGTTTTTTCTTTATTTAACTGTTTTTAGGGGGGGAGGGAAAGACCCACCGTCATGTGAGAATGCTCAGACACGAAATCTATCCGCCTGAAAATAAGTGTGTGTGTGTGGGGGATTTTAACAGAGGGAAGACATAGGGAGAAGGCAAAAGCGACGGAAGATCCTTCAGGGGAAACTGAGGGGGAGACTCACCCTTGGTCCAGATGAGCC